CAAAAAAAAAAAAAAAAAAAAAGCACAAATCGCCCAAATCCCATGCAAATGGCCAAAGGCACTCACTGCTCACAAGCCCCTCAACTGGCTTCCTTGGCCGGGGCCCCAGTAGGTCAGCAAATCCAAGGCTTGATTGTGTTAAAAAAAAAAAAAAAGAAAAAAAAGTAATTGACTTGCAATACACAGGACACCTCTCAGGGCAGAAAGTGTGCCAGATCTGGCCTTCGCAGGCCACACCTGAGCCAAGATGAATGTATCAAGTGGCAGGTGCTTCCCAGAGAGGTTACAGGCCCTGCAGGTTCTGACCTGAACACAGCTAGGTTCTGGTGCCTCCCTTGGTCTGAGTTCCCAACTCACCCCAGGGATTAGAAACCGTTCTTCAGTTGCATTTCTAGGTGTGGGCATTGAGGGGCCATGGGACAGAGGGAAGAGCATTGAGAACCCGACCTCAGCCTGGTATCTGGCCAGCAGCCACCCAGGGAGACACAGGCGCCAGAGTTCAGGGGCGAGTCACTGAGTGAGTAGCCAGTACTCCGGAGACACGCCCAGGGAGTGCCAGGTGTGTCATCAAGCCAGCGGCCTGGCAGCACCTCGGGAAATGACAAAGGGACTCCAGACAGCAGCTGAGAGTTCCCACTACCACCTCCAAACCCATCACCCTAGAACACACAGCCCCCCAAGCCCAAAGGAAGATATTAAGTTGTACTTAATTACATCTGCAGTGGCAAACAAGTAGCCAACAGGCGTGTTTTGTCTTGCCTGCATGGTACTTTTAAAAATTTGAATCAACTGCCAGACTTAAAAAAAAAAAAGAAGCCAGACCCCACATTAAAATCCAGATTCCTGGCCACTCTCAAAAACACGTTCTGGCTACGAGGGGCCCAAATGCCCTGAGGAGCACTAACTCTCTCCAGATGGGGCCCTGGGGCTCCCTCGGATCCCCCAGGTCTCGCCACCTGCAGGCACTGGGCTCGGATTCACCACAACCACCAGGCCGCAGCCCAACCTTGCCATGAAGCTGCCCTGGGCATTGCCTGAGCCCTCCCGCCTTGCTGGCCCCTGGTAATCAGCCAGGCTTAAGTGCCTCTCTCTTCCCCACCAGGCTTGGGCTCCTGGACAAAAGAAGCAAATGAGGTCCCAGCTGTAGGAACAGAGCCCCAAACCTCCTCCCCAGCACAGGCTCCTGTGAAAACTATGAGCACCCCTGTCCCCAGATTCTCTAGGCAGAGGGCAATTTCTAATGTTCCCCCAAGGTCAGGTCCAAGGAAGAGCTAGACATCCAGGGTGACCTGACTCCCTCATAGAGGGCTCCGAACCCCTCACTTCCGATCCACTTCCCAGGGCTAGTCCTTGATGCCGTAGGAGGCCTGGCTACAGCTGGCCTCATCCTAACTAGGCCCAGGCCCGCTTGACCTGCCCTGTGCCTGGTAGAAGGGTGCCCCTGGAAGTACCAAGGTGAGGGTTTAGGTACAGTCAAACCTCCCCCCGCCCCCAGAGGTGGGCGGGAAGTCTCGGGGAACAGGCCTCTCTCTGTCTTCACAAGCCACTGAGGGACCCTTCAGACCACGGATCCTGGGGTCCCAGGCCTAAGCCTACTTCGAGGCTCAAGCCTTTGCCTCCTGCCCAGGGACTCCCCCTGCCCTGCTTTTCTCCGCCCACAAGGGGCCTCCTAACCCTGCCCCAGCTTCCCCAAAAGGAGCCCACCATTTCGTTCTTCCTGCTTGTTCTGGCTGCCTCTCACTCCACCAACCTGCCTTGCTGGGACACAGAAAGGAGAGGAGAAACGGCCGGCAGCTACCGACAGGGTGGCCACGGCTGGCTGCTGGCTTTTTCCAGGGCAGGGGAAGGGTAGGGCTGGCAGAAGGGGGAATTTTTAGGGGTCCCTGGGACTGAGGAGAAATACCACCCTAGGCTTACAGGCTAAGTGGTATGCCAGGCACCTCCATTCTGGATTTAAAAAAACAAAACAAAACAGGATGCAGAGTTAAATTGGAATTTCAGATAAGTGACGAATAATTTTTTTAGTATAAGTATGTCTCAATTAGTGCATGGGACATACTTACACTAAAAAAAAAAAAAGGAAGTATTTAAAAATATTATTTCTTTGTTCATCTGAAATTCAAATTTAACTGGGTGTCCCATAATTTTATTTGCTAAATCTGGCAACCCAGTGTCCCAGTCAGTGGTGAAATACACGGTTGGTGGCCACACAGTTAATAAACAACCCCAAACCACAAGGGCTGACTGGAAGACGCATTCTGAAGGCACAGCGAGGGTGAGATTTGGCTTCTCGGGGCTGGAGAAACCCAGGAAACAAGGCGAAGGCTTTTTTTAATTAGAATGGGCAGGAGAAAAAGAAAAAGAAAGAAAAAGAAATCAGCAAAATGCAAGTTTCTACCCCACAGTAAGGACCGCATTTAATGACTGCTCCTGTGTGCAGGATAAGTGCTTTTCGAGACATGATGTTATTCCAGAAGGGGAGAAGGTAGCACAGGAACCTCTTGTCGTGGTTAGAGAAGTTATGTGGTTAGGCCAAGGTCACACTGCAAGCCCAGCCATGAGATCCCAAAGCCTGAGGTCTTTAGAGGACTTGACTCATAGTTTCCCAAGACACAAAAAAGGGAGGGAGACATGTTCTTCTCTCGTCCCCCCAAACACAGGCCTCGCCGGCAGCAGGCTAAGCAACACTGAGGGCTACCAGGCCGGCTGCTCTGGGGCTGGCAGGGTGGAAAACCCCACACAGCTCCATCTGCCCTCCCAGCAGAGCAGCTGTCAGGGTGCAGGAGCCTCCGCCAGGCTGGGAACCTGGAGTGCAAGGCCCCGCCAAGCCTCCCGCAGCACGGAAAGGCAGCTGGCCCCCACCCCTTTCTCACCTCCAGGCTGCTGACAGAAGGGACTCAGGCCCAGACAACAGCTCTTTCTTTGCACAGGCGTTCAGGCAGGGGACCACTCCAGCCTTCCCTCTGGGAATCCCGCAGGAGAGGGGGTGGTGGGCTTGTTTTCCCGTGTGCGTTTTGGCCTGCAGCTGTTTCTGCCATTTTTAAATGGCTCCAGTCCGGGCACTGGGCGCCCTGCGCACCAAGGGAGCTCCCACGGCAGGGAAGACTTGGATCTCAACTTTGGAAGGCCTTCCCTTCTCACGGTTCTGAAAATTCTTTGTCCCACTAGAGCCAAACCCAGCCCTCGGCCGGGCATCCGGCCATCTGCAGACAGCCCTTTCCATAGGAGGCCCGGGAGCACGTGGACTTTATTGATTTTCCTCTTGCCTTTTTTGTTGGGTTTGACTCAGAAAGGACAGCTAACTTGTGACACGGCTAGACTGGAGGCTAGCCCCAGTGGTTTTGAGGGACCGAAGCGAGGCGTTACTCAAGAAATGACACCCCTAAATATAAACAGAGCCCGCCACGGGGCCTGCGGGGGTTTTCAGGCTTTACATAAAGGGTCAGGACGAGACCGCGGGCGCTGACACTCGAACGGCGCTGCGGCTCCTCTCCCTCCCTGACCCTGGTGAGGCCGTGGGAAAAAAATAATAAAGTTGAAATCCGGGAGCTGGGAGTTTTCAACAAGTCCGCCCCAACCTGGCGATCGGCTCGCGCCTCGGGCCTGGCCCTCGGGCCGATTCCGAGACAGACCCGGACGAGGCCAGGGAAACGTTCAGTCGTATTAATTACAACCAGGCCACGCCGGACGGAATCTCACGTGAGCTGCAGAAAACGTACTGCCGACACCGAGTCCCCACTCGCCCCCCGCGCAGAGAACAAAAACAACGGCTCTCTCCGCAAAACAAACGCGAGCTGCCGGGTTCGGACAGGCAGACGCGGCCCAGGACCGGGGTCTGGCCCCCAACATTCGGTCGCCCAGACCCCCGCGCCCGGGTCCGGGCACAGCGGGGCGGGAGGGGGGCGCCCGGAGCCCCGGGCCCCGCGGCCGCCGCCGGCGTTTCCTCCTCGCGCTCGCCCCCATCTTTCTTCCTCGCCAAGAGCCCTCGCTCCAGGCAGCCCAAAGCGCTAAATTTAAACGGCTCGCGCTCTGCAAACTCCGCAGACTCGAGGGCGCCGGGCCTGGGAGGCGGGGAGCGAGCGAGTCAGCCAGCCAGCCGGCCGGGGAGGGAGGGAGGGAGGGAGAGAGGGAGGCCCGGCGCGGGCAAGGGCGCGGGGGCCGGCGCTGCGCCGCCCGGGGCGCGCGGGTAGGAGACGGCGGCGGCGGCCCGCTCGGTGCCTGCACAATGGAGCTCGCGCTCTCCCCTCTGCCGCCGGCATCGCGGCCCCGGCGCGCGGGAAGCCGCTTTCATGTGACTTGCACAAAACGAAATGGCTTCTGGGGCCGGCCCC